AAATACTCATTTTTACATCCTCCTCCACTATATCTGATATTCTCAATATTTTCTTTGTTTAATTTTTAATGTTCTTGCATGGGTTGAAAGCTCAATTAAGATATCATTGTATGAGCTTGATTATATATTTAGTTAAAACTTTTGTTTTCAATTATATTTCTTTTTTATTTTATGTACTTCTTCATTTTTTCATTGTTTTTTATACTATTAAATGTATAATACATATGTATAATAATATTTTATGGCTATAAGGAAATTACTTTATCGATGGGATTCAAAAATATTGATTTCTGACCATCCCACCATAAGAAAATCAAGCTAAATAAACCATTTTCATTGTTTTACTTTATATGTTTTTTTCTTTCTCACATATTCATGTATATTTATTTTATTTTCAAAGTATGTAATTATTTTAACAAAATAATTTTTTGTTATATTCAAACCAATTTGTAAGACATAGAAATAAATAAAATTGTATACACAAATAAAGGTAATTTTTGTGTATATTTATAAGTTTACACACATATTTGGATAAATTTTAACATTTTTAGTGGTTGTTTTGATAAAATTTGAAAATAGGGTAAATTTAAAAAGTGGTATTTTTAAAGGGATATTTTTTAAATTCTCCCAATATCATTCCTATTTTTATCATTAACAATATTATTGTTTTATCAAAAAATACTTAAAAGTACTAAAGAAAATTACTATCAAAATTGATTACTTGAACAATTAATCAACGAATAAATTCAAAAGATATGGAGTATGTATGATTTAAATAAATAACATGTAAAAATGTCATAAACATTAAAATTTATTTAATCTATTTTTATAAATAATAAATAAATTAAAATAATTAAATAAATATACAACAACCCGCGCATATGCGCAGGACATTACAGATAGATGACTCTAACTTTCTTTTTTGTAAAAAGACCACTAACTCCTAATTTGTCAAAAGAACAAACAAAAAAGATCCCGTCTTTCTCCTCCTCCTCGCTAGGGTTAGTAAATTCGGATTTGGTTCCTGGAGACCTACCGTCCTAAAATCGCCGCCCGTACTATCGCGAATTGGGGATATATAATCGCATTTCTGGTGTGTATTGATTTCTTCCGTATTGGATTATCATGAAACGTCCGGGCAGCCCCGCCACATGTTCACCTGCGAAGTCGCCGAAGCTCGTTCACCACTCACCGGATGATGTAGAAGCAGATGAAAATTCTTATATTCTTCCTTGTAGCCCAAGAGATGATGGCCTCTTCTGCCTTCCTGTATCGGGGCCTCCTCTTATGTTTGACTTCGGCCCCGTTCCTGTTACAGGTACACGCTTTCAGATCTTGGAATTTTTTTTGTTTCTTTTAACTTTTTTATGGTTCGTCGCTGATCCTCTAAATTTCATATCATCTGTTTAGCTGAATTAGCCAGAAAACAACAAAAATACTTAGCGGATGCGTGGGACTTGCTAAAGCCAGCTATCAAAATCATCTTAGATGATAAATATGATAAGTCTAAAGATATCAACTGCCGAAAGATTTATAATGCTGTTGAGCGTGCTTGCTTTGGGGATCCTGGGAAACTGCAATTGCAGCTTTTCGATCTTATCGAGCAGGAGTGTGAGCCACACGTCTCTGCTGTTATGCAATCTTTAGAGAGGCAAAGCAGTGATCTCTCTGTTTTCTTACCACTCGTGTACAAGTCGTGGCTAGACTTTAAAAGGAAGATGATGTTTTTGTCTGACTTAGCCATGTATCAGAGGTGTGATGGGATAACACTATGGAGCGTGTGCCAGAAGCTTTTCCATAAGCAACTCTCCATGTCCCCTCAACTTCAAGATCGAGTTATTAGCGGCATTTTAGGACTCATCACTGAGGAAAGGTGAATAATTAAGACGAGTCTCTTCTTTCCTTCACTGTTTCAGTCTCACACTTTTTGTGTTATATATATATGTCTATTAGATTACGCAAGATTCCTTACAACACGGATGGTCTCCTTAAGAAGCTTATGGACATGTTCCGTGGGGTGTCAAAAGATGTGTTTGCGAAGCCTTTTCTTGATTCCACTTCCAAGTTTTATGCCGAGGAAGCAGAGCAAGTCCTGCAGGAGTCCGACATTTCCCAGTACTTGAAATATGTCGAGGTACATTTACATTACATCTTAAGATCTCAAAGTATCCTTTTTTGTTTTGTAAAGCTTTCCTTCGTAAACCCTAAAAATCAAAGCTATATTCTTCTGGTGATTGTTTATTGCAGGAGAGTTTGCTTGCTGAAAAGACAAAATGCAAGAAGCATTATTTCTTCGTTGCATCTTGCTGGTCACAACTACTGGAAGATTTAGGGAGTCGACTCCTGAAGGCTCACGCTGGTTTTCTTGAAGAGGGTTTTAAGCTATTAATGGATGAGAGTCTAATGGATGACATTAGAAGAATGTATTGTATATTCGCTATGGTGGATCTGGTGGATGATCTAGACTCTCTTCTTAAATCCTACATTTTGGCAAAAGGAAAGGGAGCGAGGCAAGAAGGTTCCTTGCGTGAGCTGCATACTAGTATTGAGAAGATTTGGCGTCAATGCTTTCAAGACGATTATTTATTGGATAAGACCATCAGAGACTGTTTTGAGAGTATGGGTCTGCATGTGCCGGTATGACTTCTTTCCTATTGGATCCCCCTCTTATTGATTCTTGAACTGCAAATATAAAAAAATGTATGTGATTCTTTTTGCAGGGTGAATTTTCGGATGAAGAGCAGCGGGAATGCATGGAGGATTAAAGCCGACAGTCGTTTATTTAATGTTAGTAGAAGTTGCGGTTGTTATTCTGGTATTGTGTAACGTTTCTTTATCAGCCAACGGGCTATACATATGCTGTTGATATTTCTTCAGAATTGACTACATTGTGAACAAAACGAAATGCATTAGCATTTTAGTATATCAGAAAGTGGATTTTATTCTACAGGATAATGTCTGAGTCGGAGAGGTTTCTCTTTGGTCCTTTGAACTCTAATATCTATGTATGCGTGTTCGTTGTTCTGATCTCATTCTAGAAAACTGATCTTTGTTACATTGGGTAATACTACTTATCTTTCTATCTAATCTCTCGCTTCTCTTCACGTAAGCCATGGATCTCGTGGATTGATTTTTAACAAGGAAATACTGCCTCACGGCTGAATAGAAGCCAAAGTAATAAAGTAAGGTGCCACATAAATTCGATGGAGACAGTCGTCGTTGCTTCCTACAGAGGGACGTCTTGGACAATCCAAGTGTGTGTTCAAAGCAAGGAATGCTGTGTGTTCAAATCTCTATAACGCTGGGTCTTCTCAGAATCTTACGTGTGTGTGCTTGTAATTTCAGATCAGTTTTGTCAACAGAAAGGTAACCAGAATCCACCCTTGGATCTGCTATATTTCTTCTATACCAGTTTTGACCAAGCAAGCTCAACTACTCAATTTGGTCAGGTTAAATATTTAAGAAACAAAACAGAACAAAAGCTGAATAAAACAGAAGAAAACCTGAAAAGAGGGATGAAATTTTTGACAGAACAAGACGCATGTCTCATAGATATGTTAAATGGGTTCATCACACACCCTTAACACAAAGTTATGGATTTTTCTAATTTGCTGGTTTGGAGAAAACCGAAGTAACTGGTGAATTAGGCAGTAGTAGAAGCTTTCTACAAATGCGGAAGAGGTAACTTGAAAACAAGATTCTGGTGAAAAGGAATCTCCTGTCATCAAATTGGTCAGCGCACAGAGAATAAGGAAGATATCAAAGCATGGAACATTGGTTGTAGGTTTGACGATATAAAAGAAGTTTGTTTTTCTTGGCAATTCCCGAGGGTCTGTAATTCATTCTCCCCCTTTGTTCTTAACTGAAAAGATAAGAACTTAAATTAAGCAAGGCTTTCCATTCCATAATCATGTTACATTGGATGGTTGATTAAAAAGGATCCATTTTGTTCTTGTAGTACCACATTTTTAGATAGCAAAATGCTGCTGCTTTGATGATTAAACCTGATTTGCTTCCGCAAAAGTTTGTTTGTGGGACAAGCTATTAGGGAAAATTGTGCAATTGATGTTTGAAACATTCAATGTCTCTGGATTTTATGCATCAGATTAAGCAATGTTGTTGAACACATCTGCAGTTGTACCATTGGTATTGGTCATGGCCTCATGGGAAGATAGGTAGAATAACTTGGTTGGACTCTTTGTTGTTTTCCTTTACTGACCTTTATATGCTCTAAAATGTTTTGTTGTTTGGTTGAAACATATTTTTCCCTGTTGTAGATTGGAGGGTCCTTGTGCTTCGTAGCTGGTTACGGTCAGGATGTTATTTTGTCAAGGTTTTGCCAACAATAGAAATCAAGTGGCTAGCTAGTCGTGAATTTGTGATCTCAGTGGATCGAGAGTTGCTGTGATCAGAAAGCTGTTAAAGATGTTTTTTTGATGTAGCTGTCGGTGGATTTCCTCCCTCCTCTATTGTCACACTAACCGAACTAAGGCTATGGTTATAAAACTTTTGAGATACGTTCCCACGCAGCAAAGAAACAGTTTGTAACCCAATGCTTCTGGTCCGGCCGGTTTCACACCTCTTCACATTGCAGTCAACAAAGACGGTTCAAAAGATGTGTTGGATGCCCTGACAAAGACCCTGCAATGGTAATTTTGATTTTCCCTGTTTTCTCTAGGAAAACACTTTTCTTTTTGCTTTTGAACAAGTGAAGATTGTACGCTTGGAATGGAAGATACATCTCAGAGGAAGCAAAGGCTTCACACCATAAGTCAACGCACTCAGACGCTTACAAAGTCAGTTATACTTCCCAATTGATTCATGGCAAGATCAATAAAAGATCAACTTCGGAAGGTCACGAATCATGACGTGGTCAAATCCTCGTTCCTTTCTCGGGCAGAGCAGAAAGAACCCAAATCAGGTTCTAGACAGAAGATAGTAAAGTCAAACGGATATGTTTTGATTCTAATTTTTATGGTTAGGTCCAGTTCAATGTAGTTCCGGTCTATGTTACTGAAAGTCTGAAACCACTCAGCACCTAAACTGAGCATAGAGTGTTTTTCCATTCTTAGCTTTCTTCGTACCTCCTTTTTGCCAAAGAACCAGTTGCATTAAAGTTCGCTAAATAGATAACGTCAAAGAGATACTAGAGTAACACAACACAAGAAACACAAGTTTATCCGAGTCTAAATACGACTTCCACAGAAACGAGGCAGCCACACAAGCACAAAACATCAAATCCATAAGCTTGCATTCATTACTTGACAAGAACCATTAACTACTTAGCGTATGCAAATCTCTCATCATAACACAGTCTGTAACATAATGAGTATGCACAATACCATGTCCTCTCTTCTGTTTGTAGAAGAATTCGCCAACCTAAGACATCCAACTAAAAAGTCAATGCATAGGCAACCAAACAAGAAAGAACAAAACCAACTTGCTTTTGGAGTATTCCAAAAGCAGGAATGAAACACACAAAATTGCAACAGTGTTCTTAGGTCGTAGGAGACATTATGCTTACCATTCCATCAAACTCAAAACTTGGAGTCTCTGAGCCCTGCCTGCAGAACTGGAGCATTTGACTTAAGTTCAGGAATCATACCATATATATCAATATATATGCAGAAGTTTATAGATACAAAGAAATTACCTGTTAATGAAATAGGGCAAGATAGTCAAGTATTTTAATCAGCGTTGGAACATCAATGCCCATGTCATTAGCAATTTCCCACTGCAGTTCCTCAGACAAAGTCATGTAAGACTCCAGAAAGTCGCCATCAATGAACTTTCTGTCCCGAGCATTTTCTAATTCAATACATCTGTGCCCACTAAGCTCTACAAAATGGTCCCATTTCTTTCTTGCCGCCCTCATCTTCTTCTCGAGATTCTGCAGATACGAATAGACTCCATCTGGCAAGGACACTATGACTCTCATTGCGCTGGTAGTTGTAGAAAATAAAACTGATGGAACCTGAGCGTAATCTTCGTCGGCTAGTCTGGAAAGTGTTCCCGACTTTATTTGGGTTATAAATTCCCCTGAGTACCATTGCCCAACCATGTTGTCTAGTCCGTTATAAGACATGATGATGTACTTAGCATTGCTAGAAAAAAGAACCTCATTTTCCATCATTAGAATAGCAGTGTGGTTATTCCGATTCTCTGGTGCAATAACAATGTCTTCTAACTTGTACTTAACCTAAAACAAACAAGTGACCAAACAAAATACTGAGTCTTCTAACTGTAATGGGAACTCCACAAAACCTCACTAAAACACTTACCTTTTGTGACAATGAGCACATAGAAGAAAATCTCTCTTCCACACCTTCTGGTTCAACAACATCGGGATTTTCATTCAGCTCACGAACAGTTTGCATCCACTCAAAGAAACGAGGTGTAGTATGAGAAATATTGACCAAAAGTCCCCCGTGCAAGTTTTTGAGATAGTGCACAGCGCCATCAGTTGGAAATTCAGTGACACGAACCAGTTTCCCATTTATAACAAGTAAAACTAAAATCCTCCCCTACAGGAGAATAAGGAGAAGAATTAATCAACTTAACCTCAGCAAAAGAAACAAATTGAAGAAGCCCTACAAGTTTACCTTGATTGGAGCATCCTCCCCTGGCACACTGAATGATGTTCCAACGCAGTAATAAAAACGATTGTCATTTGCAAACCGAGAACTAATGATTGACAATCCAATTTCATGTTCATCCAACTTATATGAGGCTGATGTGTTGAGTTGATCATCGAGTAAAAGGATGCGATGTCTTTTCGTCTGTTCCTTCTCTTCAACAATGATGGCATAGGATTGTGTTTCTTCTTGGTGACATATCCGTCTAACACATGATGCAATCACAGTCTTGCCAGATTCCGCAATATCTCCTAATGTGCAAAATACAAATCCATCGTTCCCAGTAGCTACGACACTGTCCAATTTAAACATATTCAAAATCAGAGTTGATTCACGAAGAATATACATTATCAACGTAATAACTACAACACTGTCCAATTTTAACATATTCAAAATCAGAATTGATCCACAAGAGTATGCTATATCAGTATATTACCTAACCTATCAAACATGAAACAAAAGATAGAAATAGTTAGCTTACCCATCTTTCACGTAATCACATTGAAACGGACATGCGTCGAAAATATTCATTAGGTTCAAGGTCTCGTGCTGCAGCTTATCGTTCTTGTAGAAAATTATACTTGGCATGGTAGGTGTCGAGAAAAACACATAATCTTCACCATCTGATGAAAATTTGCGCAATGTAAGACATGAACGCCCTAATGAAACAGAGGTTTTATCTTCTAACTGGAAGCTCTCTTCCTTCCACTTGAAACTGAATAGACTTCCGTCACCTAAACCACACAGCAAGTATGGTTCCTGCAAAACCAAAAATACTATTAAGGATAAATATTGATTGAAATGATGGACTAATTTAATAGATATGGAAATAAACAGTGATTTAAAAGGATGTTATAAAAGGTATCAAGAATTCATACCATTCCAAATGCACAGAGAATGATGCACCGGGGTAGACAGCTTAATTGCTCTTCCGCGAGAAGAGTCAAATTTGGAAGCGAAAAAATCCGTGCTTTGTTTTCTGACCAAGTTGCTACCGCAGCTAACTTGCTGGAATGTCGATTCTCGCCAAGATAGCTTATATCGAGGCATGCAGCAGTATATCCGAGATCAATTTCTTTTACTAACAGCAAATCTCCATCTCTAATTTCAAAGTAATTCAAATAGTTTCCAGTTGCTACGAGAATCTAACATACAAAAAAATGAATGTTCAGCGAGTCAAGTGCAGGAAATTTTTGTAAACAACTTCGTCAAGAGAAACTATACCTGACTAACAGTTGCAGATGCACAATCTATATCTGATTTACCAGTCCATATATGCTTCAGAAGTCCAGTCTTAGAACAAATCAATCTCACTGATTTTGGAGTAACCTAATTTAACATAAGCAGCATATCATTAATGTGAAAGAAAAACAATAGCATATAGAGTAACTGAACCAAAACTTCTACTTTATCACCTATACGAATATAGAAAAAAACTAAACATTCCACTTGATACAAAAGTAAGAAAACATAACCTACTTGTATGAATTGTTTATAAATGGCATTTTGGCAGCATAAAGTGGCTAAACCAGATATGAAACCACTAAAATTGTGAGCAACAAAGCCATCGTTGACAATGGTGTACACGAAAATAACTTCTTGCAATGTCTGAAGTACAAGATACGTGTGATTATCATCTAAGATGGAAGATTTCAGTGGCCAGACATTTCTGACGTTTGGGAGTTCAGTAAAGTTCTGCAATATACAACCAAAAAACTATTGAATTAAGTTATGATCATTTATTTCAGTTATCAAGAGAAACCTAATCAATAAAACGTAAAGTAAACCTTAGGTTTGATTCCCGTGCCAGTGTAAAACAACTCGATAGCACTTTCTTCATTGCTTCCACAGCACATAAGTAATTTCCGTTGACCTCCACTCTTATTGATTACACAAAAATCACTTATTGGACCCAAATTGGCATATGTATTCAATACTTGGAGATCTGCTAGATGATTGATCTTTATGAGCTGCATTTTAGAGTGACAAAAAAATATGTAAGATATTAAAACTACTTGTGCAGTAGTTGCTGTAAACTTTGTTATGAACCTAAAAGGACTAGCGAAACATCATACATAAAATTCGAAAAATAATAGCTACAAAAGATCCATTGAAAAAATATGTGTCTTTATAGCAAACCTGTGAATCAGTAGAACATGAGCCGACAAAAACAATTGTATCGCGAAGATATGATATTGATGAGGGTATTGATATTCTGCCCAAGATCCTATGCGTGAGCTGTGGAAGCCTTCAGTTTAGAAAGACAATTTTAGACACAATTACAAAATCTTAACAGTATTCTATAATTACGTAACCAAGCAGATGATCTTAAACTCACTCTATCATGAGAAGATGCCCACTATGGTCCCCGAGAAGATAACTATGCTTTCTGGTATCTGTATGAAATCTTCCATAGGCTTTTATGTTGAACTGGATATTGCAAATGGATTCGAAGAGAATATATCAACTTAGAACACAAAAATAATGCACACTATAAAAACTACACTTACGGTAATGAATAGAACCCACATAGAAGTGAACTTACAAATCCCATGCGTTTTGTTTTTGTTGCTTGTTCCTTACAGTAGACAAAAAGTTCTTTTCCAATGATAAGAAATCCATATGGATCTTGATGCACAGGTATCAAAAGTGTAGGTTCTACTACATTATCAGGTAGTTGCCATCCCTTCAAGTTGAAGTTGTTATCTATAACCTCATACACTTTAACACCGAAACTACCATTATCTCCCTACAACAGTAAACACACATTTACTAATCAAAACGTCTGGAAGTACGAGATCAATTATAAAATTTCTGGAATTTTTGTTTTTTAGTATCAAAGCATATGAATGACATATATACTAACAGGTGGCAACTAGATATGCCAATAAAACAATTAGCAGCAAAGTAGTCTTTCAATGTGGTGAAATTAAATCAACTTAGTCCATGTTCACCCAAAAAGAATAACTAGGCTCATTGTCTGAGGTTTCTCCACATAGTAATAATTAAATATGATTAATATACCTGGAAAAGTATTGCCATCGTAGGGCTACTATGTCCGTACAAAAACTTCACGTCCAAAATCATCATCTTAGGACCTCTGAAAAAGAAATTCCAAATACACAATAAAACACTTACCATATATAAAGCAAATGACAAGAATCAAGACTATCAAACGAGTACCTCCACAAAAATGACGATTTTTTATATGAAGTAACATCTGTCATGACCCTCAACCACCTTTGACTGGAATACAGAACAACTGTGCTAGAACGAGGACATATGGTTCCCCCCTGAATAATAGAAAAACATAAAACGAGAGTAAATACATATAGTATAACAGAAGATATAAATGTACAACTATTGAACTCTAAGCTCTACATGCCTGACAATACAGCACCTCCCCTGTCTCTAATTTTGTTGGTTGGAATTGCATCGCGTTTCTGTAAGTATTAAGAATAACATGTTATATGGCCAGTTGAAATTTATAGAAAAATAAAATGTAACAATTAGTGGATATACATCGTAATCAGGTTTGGAGACTCAGAATCCCATCGAACCACACATAATTTGTGTAATTCTGTGGCAATGTAAAGAAAATCCTCAGTTGCAGACTGCAAAGTATGAAAAATCTTTTATATTGTTGTCAGCGTAATAACAAAAACCAAACGATCATACAACCAAATAGCATACTCACAGGCAGACGGGATAACTCCAAGAAAACCACTTTCCCAACTACAGGGAAATCCATTATATGCTGAAAACATGGGGAAAAATGAACAAATATGTTGCGAAACTCTTAAAAGAAATATTATAAAGTTCAACAATTAGCAAATCCAATGAGATAGAAAGCTTAGGGATGTGATCAATTACCTGTAATTCATTTTCGATCATGAGATGGATTTCTACATGAGAGCCTTTGCTGAAATAGAAAAATGAAAGAAACGTTGGTACATAAGAACAGTAAGAGTTATTTATTCTGTTAATTGGATACGTCTAACAGCTATATTAATTGAGGAACTGTTCACCCTAACATACCATATAATCAGATTTAAGTCATTAGGACCGGTGAAACACCCCACACATGAGTGGGTAACCGCGGTGGCTTTGCGAACAGTTGCTACATAGTTGCCAGTAGCTGTAAGGGATCTTTGTATACCTTTTAAAATATGCAGACAACAAATTTATTTTAGTAATAAAAGAAGTAGCAAATACATTCAAATTTTGTTTAACCAAACAGAAGAGAATGCAATACCTCTAGACGGACTGGTTGTTGATAAAAAAGTTTTTGGATCAATTGGAGCAGCCATGACAGACAGATGGTAGTGGCGAGTGGTCAAGTCTTCCAACTTCAAAACAATAACATTCAAAATTTTCAGTTTAATTAAAAGCGAGCCTATAACCAAACAAATATGTGAAGATGAATAAGATCCAGATTACGTATTAAGAATTAAGAGTAAGAACAATAATCCTTGAGAAAGGGATGGATTCCATTAACGAATGAGAAAAAGCAACAGTAAGTCCCATTACCAGAAATGAGAGCTAGGAAGAACAGAGGCCGAATTTAGTAGACTTCAGTGTTTCAAATTTACATCAACTCGCCCTCTGCATTTGCAAAAACAGCTTCCTTAGGCAAACAAAATTAAAAGAGAGCCTGAATAATCATCTCTAATCCTTAGAAAGCACAATTTGCATACTCTCTAAACACAGTCTAGGTTCAAGGAACACTCGATTCAGTATCTTGGTCTCTTGAAAGATATATATGGAACACGAATAGGGAAACTAAAATCCTTAAGATTTCCAGGTTCAACCAAAACCCAATTTCAGTGAACCCGTTTACATGATGTTCTCCATAATTTAGTGAGCTCAGCTACAGAAACACTGTTGTTGAAACTACAGAATCCAAAATCACGAAAAGAGAAAGAGTCAATTACATGGAGCGGAGACATTGTGCTGGACGATAGGGGACCAAATCGCTCGTTCGAATGTTCTACACTGAGAGCGAGTGAAGAAGAAGGGAAGCCGATGACTACTCTCAACCCTAGTATTTAATTCCCAAAAACAAACCTTCTAAGTCACCTGGAGGTTTCTATTGAATCGTCAACTTTGTTATCTTTTTCTTATCCTTAACTACATTTATATATTTTCTTCAATTAATTAAAAATGTCCGATTATTATGCTTTAGTTTTTCTCCTTTTCTAATTCTTTTATTATCATTTTTTGTAAAGAGAAAAGACAAACTAAAATTTTAATATATGTTTTAGAGGTGTAAACAAGATTTTTAATTATGTATAAAGAAAGATTTTTCTTTTCTCAAAATAAATTAATATATCTATATATATAAAGTTAGCTTTTTCTCTCTTCTCATGATGCCACCTAAGCATCCACCTAAGCAACATTTTTAATTTTACACTAAAAAATTAAAATATATATTTAATGCATATTTATGTTACTTATAATTAATATCAAATTTATATAAATAAAAAATAAATTATATAAAAGAAATGAAATGTTAAAATAAGAAAAACAACATTATAATTTTTTATTAGTGGTAATAATATAATTCGACTTATAAATGTGCTACGAGATTTTAGAATGGAAGTAAATTTTAAATTCAAGTTAGAATAAAACAACATTTATGTAATTGTATATATAAAATTTAAAACATGAAAAAGCAAATTAAAAGTAAAATATTAGTTTATAACATAATCATAAAGAGAAAACAAATTTGATATTTCATAAATTAAATCAAATCGTTTTAATCCAAATTTGAGTAGTGAAAGATAGTAATTAAGGAAAAAAAAGTTATAATACGTTTTGAAAACCAATATAGTCTAATATATGTTATATGGGAGCCAATAGAAAATGAAGATAAAGTAGATATCGAAATGCAATGTATGCATAGTAAATAATAACGAAAGAATTGTAGTCAAACATGTTAAAATAAAGGGAAACTTTGCAAATAGTACATCTCAAAACTTAATAGGAGATATAGTCACTTTACTATTTACAATTAGTAAAAACCCCATATTTTACTGTTTATGTAATAGAAGCTCTTCTTTGATAGAAATTTTTTCAATTACCAAACTGTCTAACACTCATATCTTTCTCTTTCTCTCACGAACAAAAGACAAATGCCCTCCATCTTCTCTTTCTCTCTCTATCTCATATATATATATATATATATTTATATAATACATACTTTTATTTTTTTATTTCTTACATTCTCCCACTAATTTAATAACTAAAATATTAATTATATAATTTAAAAAACAAATATTTAGAAATATAAAAATCATATTTTTCTTCACAATTTGATATGCATATTGTTTAATATTTTCAAATATATTTTATACAAATTATGATTTGTACATTTCTCTATCTGTACAGAAAAACCTATATGTATAGAAATATTGATGTACAATATTTTATATCCGTACAATTGTATTTGTACGTACATTATTCTGTACGATTGTATGTCTTTGTACAGATATTTCAGCTGTACAGTGTTTATATCTATACAATTATATATATGTACAATTATATAGATACAATTATATATGTACATATATTTTTCTTTACATGTATACATATTTTATTCATATAACTTATATAATATACAGTATGAGTGTAAAAATAAAAATTGTATATATATATATACACAATTAAGGAGAAAATAGTTATGATATTATTAAGGAGAAAATAGTTATGATATGTCTTCAAAATCAATTCACACTCTAATATCTCTATTATATGAGAGCTAATAGAAATGCAAAGAATTATATCTATGTCAGTTTATAATGTTGCTTTTATATAAGATGAACTTATTGAATGCATACTTACAGTCAACTATTTAATTTGATAATTTATAATTTATAACTGAGGGTTACAGGAATTGAAGGCTTCTGAAATATAAGATTGTATTACCTACTATTGAGTCTAATTTACAGTTAAACAAATAACAATAAACATTTCAAATACTAAACTAATATAAACTTATAAAAACTCATATAAAAAATAGAATCATATATATAAAAGTAAGGTTTCACTCTCTCCTTATTGGTGGAAAAACATTTAAGCCATTCATTAAAAAAAACATATATATATATATATATAAGTAAATGTTAATGACAATCATTCAATACAAAATTTAATTACACCATAAGTTATAAACAAATGGAAACGAAAATGAAAGGAGTTAATTATATATATATATATATATATATATATATAAATGTAAGGTTTCACTCTCTCTTTATTGCTCCATTTGATATTTATTTTTTAAAAAAATTTCATATTTATTTACCAAAAACCACATTTAATCATATACATTAATTCATACTTTGAATCCACACTTTACTACTAAAATGTAACTGAAAATTATATAAATTTTCAAAGACTATTGGTTTTCTTTATTGAATTTCAATTAAACACACTATAAATTATAATAATGACTCATCTAATTTAATTAATTTAAAAATGTAACTTACATCACTTCTTTTCCTATAAATAACCATTCTCACATCCTCCTCTATCATTTCTCATATCTTCATTATTTTCTTTGTTTTTTAAAAAAAAGTTCTCGTATGGGGTGAAAACTTAATTAAGATGTCATTGTAAGAGTTTGATTAAATATTTATTTAAACTTTGGTTTTCAATTTTATTTATTTTTTGTTTATATTTATTTTTCATTTCTTCATTTTTTAAATATTTTTAAATGTAATACATATGTATAATAATATTTTTTGATTATAAGGATGACAAAAAAAAAAAAAAAAATATTTTTTGATTATAAGAAAATTATTTTATTGATGGGATTCAACAATATTGAATTCCGACCATTGTACAATATGAAAATCAAGCTAAAGAAACCATCTTTATTCTTTTATTTTGGATGTTTGTTTCTTTCTCACATATTCATGTATATTTATTTTAATTTCAAAAGTATGTAATTTTTTAACAAAATAAATTTTTGTTATATAATTATGAAACCAATTTGTAAGACATTATTTTAAGAATAATGATCCTTATATTTAGTTTGTGATTCAATATTTAATAATATAAAGAACTTTATAATTTTTGTTAACATTGAATTTTATACTTGATTTCCTATCTAAAAAACAATTTGATATTCAATTTTCTATCTATTATATATACTAAAAGGATGAAAAATATAATTAAACCTAGAGATATAACTTAAATTAAGAGGAATATAAAAAGACTTTAAAAAATAAGATTATTTTTTGGAAATTTTTAAGGTTTCAATCTCTCCTTATTGGTCCATTTAGCATTTAATTTTTAATTATAATATTTATTTCTAATTAAACAAAATTTTTAACACATTTAATCATATACTTTAATTCATACTTGAAATACACACTTTAATACTAAATTGTAACTGAAATTAAATAAATTGTAAATTGACTATTTGTTTCCTCCATTCAATTTTAATTAACACACTATAAATTATAATTATAGCTCTTCTAATTTAATTATTTTAGAAATATAAATAACATCATATTTTATCCTATAAATACTCATTCTTACATCCTCTTCCACCATATTTGATACCCTCAATATTTTCTATGTTTTATTTTTTAATGTTCTTGCATGGGTTGAAAGATCAATTAAGATATCATTGTAAGAACTTGATTATATATTTTGTTTAAAATTTTGTTTTCAATTCTATTTTTTCTTTGTTTTATGTACTTTTCATTTCTTTATTGTTTTCTTATACTGTTAAATGTATAATACATATGTATAATAATTTTTTATGGCTATAAGAAAATTACTTTATCGATGAGATTCTAAAATATTGATTTCCGACTATTACACCATAAGAAAATCAAGTAAAAAAACAATTTTCATTCTTTTACTTTAGATGTTTGTTTCTTTCTCACATATTCATGTATATTTATTTTATTTTCAAAAGTATGTAATTATTGTAACCAAATAAAAAAAAATATATAATTATCATACCAATTTGTAATACATTGAAATAAATAAAATTTTGTACACAAACAAAGGTAATGTGTATGTATATTTATAAGCTTACACACATATTGGATAAATTTCAACATTTTAGTGATTGTTTTGATAAATTTTGAAAAAGGGATAAATTTAAAAAGTGGTATTTGAAAAAGGTATTTTTAAAATTCTCTCAATATCATTTCTATTTTTATCATTAACAATATTATTATTTTTTATCAAAAAATACTCAAAAGTATTGAAGAAAATTACTATCAAAATTGAATAATTAATCAATGAATAAATTCAAGAGATTTGAATGAATTCTATTGAATGATTTAAATATCATAAGCATTGATTTTTTTTTGTTCTATTTTTTATAAATATATTAATTAACTTAATATACAACAACCCGCGCATATGCGCGGGATATTACCTAGTAGCAAAAAATGATAGCAAAAAAAAAACTAACAAAATAAACGTTAGACAAAAAAAAAAAAAAAAAATTAAATAAACTTTCCGCGCGTAGCGCGGGTCAACAAATAGTATATATATATATATATATAACGAATGCTTACAGAAAGAACCAGTCAATCATGTAGTCATACTGGTGGTATTATGACCTTTGTATGATCTAGTGTGTTGTTTTTTGTTTGTTAATGTCCCTATATTATTAATCCTTCTAACTCTATTTATACATATAAAATGGTTTAAGTGTATTCAATAAAGAAGTCGAGAGGCATAAGGTTTACAACGTCAAATGAGGCTCCTCCCTTAGGTATCTAATATTATTGGATAATATGGAAGGTTAATTAAAAATGATCTCTGTTTCCCAGCAACAAGAAATCAACTATACAAATGATGACTATGGAGAAGACACAAAAGGAATCCAAGGACTGGTTTTTGAGCAGAATGAAGAGCTTCCTCCTCTCTACTAAGGTTCTTTAAGTGCAATGTTGATGCTTCATAGTCACTTGATTCCAAACAGAGTATGGATTCTTAGAGGTGTAAGGGATTTAGTGAGGTATTATGGGGGCTAGCTATCGACATCTTAGAAAGAAAAAAAAAAAAATCACTTTTAATCTAAATTGGCATATCATCAACACGTTTTACTAATTGAAGTTTTAATTAGATTTTATCCTACAAATCTAAAATATATATGTTGTATATGTGTTTTACTATTACTGAGATGTCATTCAGACATATTCGATTCAGAAATTAATCTTTAATGCTCTGAGTAAGTATATTGTATTGGGGTTCTTTGAGGTTTTTATAATCTTTCTAAACAACAAAATTTATCTCAATTTTTTTCTAGCATAAGATCTTCAAAAAGTTTGAGATGGGATAAATAATTACTTGCTGAGAGACGACGAGGAAAGCCACACAGAGACGATGGCGTTGCCAGTCCAAGAAGCTAAGCCATCGCTGTTGAGATTCAGAATATAGACAAGGCCAGTTTCTTCGACCTCCACAAGTAAATATTCTCCACATCGTCTTCGATTCGTAGTTTCTTCGACCTCCGCAAGCAAATATCCTCCACATCGTCTTCGATGCAAATTATGAGACATACCAAAGCAAAAATGTAAAAAATATCAGAGTTTGATTATTTGGTGAAGATTTCTTTTTTCTTTCTTTTCCAATAGTTTTCTTAAAACTAATGTTTCTAACCAGAGATTTTTTATTAGTTTCTTGATATACGATAAGATAAGGTTGTGGTGACGTGGGAGTCATGCATGGTTGATATGTCTTTCTTGATAAAAAAAAAGAAACTTTGTTCAACATGTAGGGACTACTATGTCGAATTGTCGATGAACGAGTAAAGGAGGGTTTAGAGTTTCGTTCACTTGGATAGAAGATTTGGTTACACATTTACATTCATAAATGTATAGTTAACCAAATATGTAATACCTAGAATTTTTGTTTTTGTTTAGAATATAATCTTTTACGCCTTTGGATATAAAAATCTATACTAAGGCCCTGACTGGTAACGGCTGTTACTTTTGGCTGTAGAGATTTTGATTTTAAAATTTTAGCTGCAGAAAATTTGGCTGTAGATGCTTTGGCTGTAGAAAATTTGGCTGTAGATGTTTTGGCTGTAGAAACTTTTACTGTTAAAATCTGATTGGTAATGCACCACTTTTAAAGTTGTGCCTCTTATTTTTATTTTATTTTTTTATATTAATAATAAATATTAGTTATGCTAGAAATGAATTTATATAGCAATTTAATGACTAATTTTTGTTTATTAATGATAACAAAGTTTTTGAAATTTAAATAAATCATACTACAAAAATAAGAAATATCTGAAGTTGTAGACATCAGTCTGTTTTGTTTTTGTTTTTGGTGATTGATTCTTAATAGATTATTATGGCAAATAATAATGGTGTTTTAAAACTATTTCAAATGTTTTTTTTTATATTTGCAATATGTTAAACATGAATTAATGCACTGTTTTGAATGCTACTCTATATAAACATATAAACATAAATTTCATAACTCTTTTACATCATCATTATTAATGATGATGAAAATAAAAATGATTATTATTGAAATGGATCTTAAAAGAACAAGAAAAAAATGAGAATAATTGATTTGTAAAAATAAAATATATTTATAAACTTCTAGAATGTTTTAAATGTAATGGGAATGTGAAGAAATAAATAATTTTTAATTGTTTAGATTTTAAAGTCAGGTTTTTGACGCTTCTAAAAAGATGAGATAACAAAGAAGAAAAAAATAAAAGTGGCTTTCAATGCTTTAAAAAAAAATAAAAGCCTAAATGTTTGATTGGCAAAATAATTGCTGTAGAAACTTTAAAAAATATTTAAAGCCTTGAAAGTATCAACCAATCGGCCACTAACTTTTACTATTTTGGTTTTTTATACTATTAAATGTATAATACATATGTATAATAATATTTTATGGCTATAAGGAAATTACTTTATCGATGGGATTCAAAAATATTGATTTCTGACCATCCCACCATAAGAAAATCAAGCTAAATAAACCATTTTCATTGTTTTACTTTATATGTTTTTTCTTTCTCACATATTCATGTATATTTATTTTATTTTCAAAGTATGTAATTATTTTAACAAAATAATTTTTTGTTATATTCAAACCAATTTGTAAGACATAGAAATAAATAAAATTGTATACACAAATAAAGGTAATTTTTGTGTATATTTATAAGTTTACACACATATTTGGATAAATTTTAACATTTTTAGTGGTTGTTTTGATAAAATTTGAAAATAGGGTAAATTTAAAAAGTGGTATTTTTAAAGGGATATTTTTTAAATTCTCCCAATATCATTCCTATTTTTATCATTAACAATATTATTGTTTTATCAAAAATACTTAAAAGTACTAAAGAAAATTACTATCAAAATTGATTAATTGAACAATTAATCAACGAATAAATTCAAAAGATATGGAGTATGTATGATTTAAATAAATAACATGTAAAAATGTCATAAACATTAAAATTTATTTAATCTATTTTTATAAATAATAAATAAATTAAAATAATTAAATAAATATACAACAACCCGCGCATATGCGCAGGACATTACAGATAGATGACTCTAACTTTCTTTTTTGTAAAAAGACCACTAACTCCTAATTTGTCAAAAGAACAAACAAAAAAGATCCCGTCTTTCTCCTCCTCCTCGCTAGGGTTAGTAAATTCGGATTTGGTTCCTGGAGACCTACCGTCCTAAAATCGCCGCCCGTACTATCGCGAATTGGGGATATATAATCGCATTTCTGGTGTGTATTGATTTCTTCCGTATTGGATTATCATGAAACGTCCGGGCAGCCCCGCCACATGTTCACCTGCGAAGTCGCCGAAGCTCGTTCACCACTCACCGGATGATGTAGAAGCAGATGAAAATTCTTATATTCTTCCTTGTAGCCCAAGAGATGATGGCCTCTTCTGCCTTCCTGTATCGGGGCCTCCTCTTATGTTTGACTTCGGCCCCGTTCCTGTTACAGGTACACGCTTTCAGATCTTGGAATTTTTTTTGTTTCTTTTAACTTTTTTATGGTTCGTCGCTGATCCTCTAAATTTCATATCATCTGTTTAGCTGAATTAGCCAGAAAACAACAAAAGTACTTAGCGGATGCGTGGGACTTGCTAAAGCCAGCAATCAAAATCATCTTAGATGATAAATATGATAAGTCTAAAGATATCAACTGCCGAAAGATTTATAATGCTGTTGAGCGTGCTTGCTTTGGGGATCCTGGGAAACTGCAATTGCAGCTTTTCGATCTTATCAAGCACCAGTGTGAGCCACACGTTTCTGCTGTTATGCGATCTTTAGAGAAGCAAAGCAGTGATCTCTCTGTTTTCTTGCCACTCGTGTACACGTCCTGGCTAGACTTTAAAAGGAAGATGATGTTTTTGTCTGACTTAGCCATGTATCAGAGGTGTGATGGGATAACACTATGGAGCGTGTGCCAGAAGCTTTTCCATAAGCAACTCTCCATGTCCCCTCAACTTCAAGATCAACTTATTACCGGCATTTTAGGACTCATCACTGATGAAAGGTAAGATGAGTCTCTTACTTTCATTCTTTGTTCAAGTCTTGATCTACTCACTCTTTTTATATATGTCTATCAGATTTGGCAAGAATGCTAACCACACGACTGATCTCCTTATGAATCTTATGGACATGTTCCATGGGGTGTCGAAAGATGTCTTTGAGAAGCCTTTTCTTGATTCCACTTCCAAGTTTTACGCCGAGGAAGCAGAGCAAGTCCTGCAGCAATCCGACATCTCCCAGTACCTGAAATTTGCCGAGGTATCCTTTTTGTTTTGTAAGCTTTCCTTCTTAAACCCTGAAAATGAAAGATATGTTCCTCTGGTGATTGTTTCTTGCAGGGGATTTTGCATGCCGAAGAGACAAAATGCGTTAAGGATTATTTCTTTTTTGCGTCTTGCTCGTTACAACTAATGGAAGTTTTAGCGAGTCGACTCCTGGAGGCTCACGCTGGTTTTCTTGAAGAGGGGTTTATGCTATTAATGGATGAGAGTCTCATTGATGACCTTAGAAGAATGTATCGTTTATTCTATACAGCAGATTTGGTGGATTATATAGACCGCTTTCTGAGATCCTACATTATGGCAAAAGGAGAGGGAGCGAGGCAAGAAAGCTCCTTGCATGATTTGCATACTAGGATAGCTAATATATGGCGTCAATGCTTTCGTGAAGATGATTTATTGGACAAGACCATCAGAGACTCTTTTGAGGGGATGGGTCTGCATGTGCCGGTATGACTGATATTTTTCTATTTGATCCTCCTCTCTTGTTAGGTCTTGAACTGTAGATACAATAAGCGTGTCTGTGATTCTTATGTACAGGGCGAGTTTTCGGATCAAGAGCAGTGGGAAGAAGAGGACTAAAGCTAACTTGTCAGCTAATTACCTGATCAGTTTCAAAGATGTAACGTATAAAAATTTATAAATTCTTAATTAACATGTTTTGTAACGCTAGATTTTTTGTAAAACATTTTAAAAGAATCGATACACTTATGAAGACTCCACTCTTCACATGGAAATCACTAACACACCACATTAGAGAGTTTTCTCTTTTATTGTAGTGTTGTTCATCGGAGTTTATATTGGGGTAGTAGTTAACAGAGCATCCTCAATGCAAGACTATTAAAAATTGATCTTATGATTTGTTTAGTAATTTAATTGAAAATTGAGTCTTTTTCCACCCAAATTTTGATCTTATATAACATTCCATAGCTTAGGTTTTTAAGTGTATTTTGATTTTCATTGAATGCTAAATTAACATAAGAATGCTCTAAGAGCTCTGCATTGAGGATGCTCTGTTAACTACTACCCCAATATGCTCTGTTAACATAAGAACATCCTCAATGTTGATCCTTAAGCTGGTCCTTAAGCTAATTTTGATTAAAATTTAATACATAATTCAACAAAATTTATAAGGTACGTACCTTATATAAGGTCAAAAACTGGAAGTAAAGTAAAGTACCGTACATTAAGACACTTTTAATGGATGTGAAAAATAATTAATTTATTTTTTAAATAAATAAATGAGTGTCTAAGCCCAACAAAAATGTGTTAAATAAAACATTTTTAAGAAATAAGTGTCTAAAATTGGATCTCAAAATCAATTAATCCATATTTTTTTATTTTTAAGATCCAACTTAAACACCCCAAAAATCACCATTGTTAAAGTGCTCTAAGATCCCATTTGAATAACTGTAATAACCCTAGTTATAATATTGAGCTAGTCAAATGTTAAAAATGTGAAAGAAGATAGTCCACACCATATTTATTTTTCTATTTCGCGTGTACGTTTAGAGTCATTTATTCACATCACCTAAATTAATTTTTGCTTGAGAGATTAGGAAAATTAGCAAAAGCCAAAGCTGAATTAAACGAACAAATCTTCACATTTAATTCCTTTTTTAATACAATCAAAGTTCATTTACCTAGGTCACATCATCCCCTCAGTGCAAGCAATACATACACATCAGGAAAATTACTTTTGTTACAATATTATTGATCGTGATTACATTGGTAAGACTAAAGTTGGTATAATAAGTTAAATGCAACCCGAACACTGTTGCTTATTTACGTGTCTAGTAAGAAAATAAGACTTTTGATATTAATATGAGAATTATTAAAAACAATATCATCTCGGACCATATAAATACCGACTCAGAGAAGCACACTCTTAATGCTTTTTACATTAGCAAAAAAAAACCAAAATAAAAGATGGCAAAATCAAATATTGTTCTCCTCTCCATACTTGTCGTCATGGCGTCACTCTCTTCCTTACCAATGCAGGGCTTGTCCTTATTACTCCCCGGGATCGAAATTGGTCAAGTAAACATCCGTGGTGACGTGACATGCAGCCTTACAGGAGATCCAAACGCACCACCTGTCTCCAATGCCAAAGTACTCTTAGTATGTGCCGGCTCAAGCACACCCCTTGCTCAGGCTTTAACCGATACGAACGGTACGTTTGTTTTCGTGCTAAACGCCTTAAAGGCGGTTTTGATTCGCCCCGATATTTGCGGTGTCGTGGTTAATCTTCCGGCTGGCACATGCGAATTATATCCACCGGACGGTATACTCACAGCTTCAATTAATCTGTTCAATGTTGTCATCACGAACCTCTTAGCAATCGTTTACTATGTCACCGGTCCGTTTCTCGACTCGACTGTTTGATGCGATCGTCGCTTACTTAACAATATATAGCTTATATATATATGGATAGGGAGAAATATGAGTGATGCTATAGATATATTTGCTCAATGCATGTCTCAAATAAGTAATGATATAGCTACATGACCCACTTGTTTTTATTCCGTTCTTACTTGATTGCAATAACATTAATTTTAAACTGAATATATTTTTAAAAAACCCAAAAATATACTTTAGTCTCCATATAAAGTATAAAATTAGAAGAAATGTAAGAAAGTTCTCCACCGATCAATTACGTATATATATGGAAGTTTATATAGATAGAGCATGACGCCAGCTAACTAAAAACACCATAAAATACGGTAATTTATGTCACTCGTGAGTGAAGATTTGTGAACATGGATAAAACCTAACGAGGTTTGTGTAAAGATTTTTTCTCTTCATCTGTGAAATTCCTATGTTAATTAGCTATATATATTTGTTTTCATTAGAAACATTCACCAATCAATAAACTATGTAGTGTTTTTTAAACCAGATTTTATATCATTTGAACATAGAGTTTTCAAACTTTATATTAAGAGAAATATTTTAGGTAAAAATTCAAAATATTTTTTTTTTCTAGTTCTTTTTAGCATTCTAAATTAATATAATGAAATAGGGTGCGATATTCAAGTATTTACTTTTTTGGCTCGACACTGATCTTGATCTTTATCTTTAAAAAAAAATCATTTATTCGATCGTTTATGACATCAAAGTATCCATAGAAGAATTATTTTGCACATACTTTGTAATCTAATACATTTTATGCTATTTTTGTCAACCTCATATTTTTTTCAAGATCATCCGAGTATTAATAGATTTCAAATAGGAACGCGACCATAATTTCCAATGCGCAAGTTGTTGTATAGTACTTTAACACAATCTTCGCTGGTCTAATATATAGTTTGAGAAGAGATTCATTGATGATTTATGTTATTAACCTATCACCATATAGTCATATCTACTATAGTACTATTTAACATATTTCGAACATCGTTAGAAAAAAAAATCTAATGTATCAACTGAATGACGCAATCTTAGATTTAAATTGTGCAATTATCTGCTACAATAATTATTTGAAGCAAAAAAATGGACAATGTTTGATGAGTTATTATTAAAATCATCATTAAACATCATCTAAAATCATAAAGGTCCATTTAACATATACCATTTTTGTATACTTATAATATGTATATTGGCAACTCTTTTACGATCCTTTAATTCTTCCACTACAAGAATAACAGCGATTTCCTACGGGCCGTTGCGTGAAAAAATGGTAGGAAACAGCCGTTTCTCTCGCTATTCCTACGAGAAAAATGGTAGGAAATCGTAGCTGGTAAGATATTGGTAGGAAAATTTCCTACCAAAACTGCACGGAAGAAACATTTGTAGGTATTTTCGTAGGAAATGTGAAGGGTATTTTTGACCGTTTTCCTTCAAATAAAGCGTATGAAACCGTTTCCTTCTAAAATAATAATAGAACAAAGTAATAAATGTTTCCAAATATTTTTGGCTACATAATCAATTGTAAGTTTTTTATGGTGGTCCATCAATAAATTTCCATTAAAAATTATCTCATAAATAATTTTTCATTTCTCCTACAAGGCGCTAAATAACTTTTTATATTCGTATATCTAGTATCAATAAGATAATATTTACTGTCAGAGGTTTTTGAAATCTTTGCTAGTTTTGTTGTGTTCCTTAACTAAATTCTTTTTTTTCTCTACATCAAGTTATTGAAAATAGATATATTTTAGGCTAATGTTAAAAACTATCAAATTGTATTGAGTTTTAGGTTGAAAGTACTCCTTTTCTATTTTAAATAAAAATTACTTTTTAAATACTGACAATTTGTTCTGATTGAAATTAAAAGTTTTAAATTCAGCAAATCAAAATAAATACAAAACTTAGAGGAGAAAAAATTTAGATTAAAATTAAAAATTAAATATCATTACATTTAAAATAAAATAAAAATAAAGATAGTTAGATATATAATATTTAAAAATATAACAAATTTTATAGTTGAATATTTATCATGCTTATATAAAACTAAAATTTCTAAACTCAAAATATATTCAATTGAGTATACTTCTCTGAAAAGAACTGTAAGGTAAATGCATAACTTTTTCTTGTCATCTTCAGAGATTTTTATACATGCATGTGACTATATGCCAAAATTTATTTTAGATTTTTTTTGTTCATATTTATATTTATTTTTAAAATGCAATAGTGATTGAAAAAAATTATGGCTAAACAATAAAATATTTTTTAATAAAAAAAGGAAAAGAAAAAAACACTCAACTTCTGAGTGAAGCAAAAAAAACATACTTGTATAAATTTGTCCATATATAGTTGACGATATGAAAACACCACCATTAAATCAGATATGATACTGATTAAATTCTGAACTCTAATAACCATTATTGACAACAATGAGCACATAAATAGTAGTATTATCATTTTATTACAAGTATCATTTTAATTTACTTTCTAATTATTATATTAGTAATCAATATTTTTTTTTGGTGTGAGGTAATGTCAAACAATATGAATAAAAATGGAACTTTTACAAACAAATTTTCATAAATTAAAAAAGAAAAAAACCCTGTAATTTACACTTAATTTATGGGAAAAATGTCATTTAAATCATGAACTTTCAAATTTTGGCCATTTAAATCACGAACTTTCTATGTGGCCATTTAAAGCATGAATTTTTTGTGTACTTAATTTTTAAACCATCATCTTTCGTTAACAAAGCCAAATTGTACATCATATCCAAAAATTTGTTATAAAACAACTAACAAACATTTAGCCATCACTAATTCATCTCTATTAGTAAGAGACGACGTCGTTTAAGGCTAAAACAAAGTGAGAAAGTAGGGATTTGATTTTTGGATTATGACGTTAGAATCACGATTTTGAGATATCGTTTTAGAATTAAACGACGTTTTTCTCACTAACAAATATGATTAACGATGGTTAGCTGCTTTGTCAACGAATTTGAGGATACGGTGTTCATTTCGGCCTGGTCAACGAAAGATGATGTTTTTAAAAATAAGTTAACGAAAAGTTCAAGTTTTGAATGGCCATATAGAAAGTTTGTGATTTAAATGGCCAAATTTTGAAAGTTCGTGATTTGACTGACATTTTTCCCCTTAATTTATTGAAAGTATTAAAAAAAAAAAAAAAATCAAAACGCAAGGCAAAGAGAATCACCCAATTCGTCGACAAAAAAAAAAAAGAGAATCACCCAATTCTCGTAATTTGAGCCAACCAACAAAACCTCTTCTTGACTACTACTAAAAATGTCCGATTCAATTAGCCGGAGAAGAGTCACGGCGATGCACGGAACCCGAGGTCGGAGCCCCATAACAAGACGTCCGGCGAAGCACCACCATGTATCCCGTCGGATTCCCAGTAAGATTCGCTCAAAATCTTATAAGATCCTCCGTCGAAGTTTCTCGGAGCCAAATCTCTATCGGAGTAGCGCTAGTGAAGATGATGATCCTCGGCGTTGCTCTACTCCGATGATTGATCTCCCAGCGGAAGAATCCGAGCAGATCGTTTACCTCTCTAAGATCCGTTCGGAGGTTTTCGCTTCAGCTCCGTCGTTGTTGTCTGGATTCTCTTCTCCGTCTTCGTCATCTTCTCCGATTAATCAACAGGTTACTACATTAGATCGTTTCTGTAGAAGTATTGTTAATTTAGTCCTTCATTTCTCAAAGTTTCTAAGATTGGACCCAAACATTTAAAATGTTACAAATTAACCCATTCTAGACAATCCAATTCGACCATTGTCTTGAAACTCTAATGCATAACAGTATGATTGTGAGGAAGAAGCAGAAAGATTCTGAATTTTGAATTATTATGTATGTTTTTATTACCAAATTCCAGGTTTACAAGAGAGAAGCAGCTAAAGTTATGATCAGTGTATCAGTAGAAGGAAGTCCAGGGCCAGTAAGGACATTGGTTAAACTGAGTTGCAATGTCGAGGAAGCGATCAAGATGGTCGTTGAGAAGTATGGTAAAGAAAGACGAACACCGAAACTCGATAAAGATCTTACCTTTGAACTGCATCAGTCTCATTTTAGTATCCAGTGTAAGACTCCACTACTCAATCTTGTCAAGTTTAAGTCTAAGAACCGTGCCTTAATACTTGCGAAAACCGAATAATAGCTTCGACTATCGGAACTATTGAGATCAAGGTTGTAGAACAGAACAAGACATATATATCTCGTAGATATGTGGAATGAGACTATGTGAATCAAGAACCACTAACACAAAGGTTTCAATTTTACTAACCTGCAGGTTTGGAGAAAAATGAAGTAATTGGTGAAATAGGAAGTAGAAGGTTCTATATGAGAAAGAGGGAACTGGAGAATCGGATTACGGTGAGAAGGAGTCTTCCGTCGTCATCGAATTTAATCGAATCTTTCATCGCACAGAAGATTGGGAGAATCGTGAGGAGGACAAGGAAGTTATGGAACATCTTGGTATGTGCTCAATAAACAGTTTAAGCATTACCGAGTGTTTTTAAAAATAGATGTGTTATATTCTTGGAGCAGCACATAATATTTACTTGTGTTAGCTCCAACTTCATACATTTGGTTCACTTCTTTGTATAAATGTATTTACTGAACAACATAGATTTGTTTTACCTAGGCATGACCACGGTTACGGTTAATGCGATTATGGTTAATTAACCACCAGTTAACGGTTATAATTTTTTTAACCATAACCTTAATCATTATATATACGGTTAAGACGGTTACGGTTATATACGGTTACGGTTAATTACGGTTACGGTTAAATACGGTTACGGTTATTTGATGATTATTATAATATTAATATTGAAGATAAAATTTTATGAAATATTATTTATTTTACAAGTAAAAAATATATGTGATTTCAATTATTTATAGTGAATTAGTTAAATATGGGTATTGTATACAGTTATAATATAATTTATTTTAAAATTTTAAATATGCGGTTAACCGAGCGTTTAACCGTACGGTTAACCGACGATTAATTACGGTTAATTATGGTTACGGTTAATTAACGGTTACGGTTATTATTATTTTTTAACCGTAACTAATTTACTTTTACGGTTAACGGTTACAATTTTTAACCGTTTTATACGGTTACGGTCCGGTTACGGTTGATAAACGGTCCGGTTACGGTTAAAAATACGGTTAAGGTTAGCTTTTGGTCATGCCTAGGTTTACCTATAAGTTGTATATGTATTTGTCAATGTACTCTATTATGATTCGAGTTTCTTCATTTTTATATGAAATCCGAATTGTAATAGAATGGTTTCATTATGAGTCATGTGACTAGTGAGCATTTTGGTTTATAACCATTGTTGGTTTTGGTTTTGCTTAGGTTTGGTACCATTGTGATACTCTTTTTGGTTTGGTTTTTTTATTTGAGATTTTGCCAGTTTGGAGAAAAACCTGGTGATGTAAAACCGATGTTTTTCGGTTCAAATTGATTTCGTTGGGTCAAGTTTAATTTGACGGTTTAATGTCCACTTCTTTTACTTGGTCAACTGCAATCGAGCATATTCAGTTTATTCTATATATGTAACTAGGATTTGATCGGTGCTCAGCGCAGAAGAATATTTACATATACATATGATATAGATACGTTGTATTTTGATTTTATTACGGTGTAATCGATTACAGTGAATCATTTATTTATGTAATAAGTTTGGATCAAATGATAAAAACAAAAACTCGAGTAAAAAGATAATATAGTGAGTTTTAATACAATAAAAACAATAAAAAATTTAACACCGTGAAAAAATATTTTTCAATATATAATTCAATTTGACCACTTTTGTATTAGAAGTAGGAATATACATAAAATTGTAAAAAAATTGCATACATAAAAATTATATATTCATAATATTTGTTTTCACGGACCAACCCAAAACGGATTGCATTCGTAAAATATTATTCATAACTCGTTTTTACTATTATCATCGTGAGTTTAACAAACTAACCCGTGAAATACCCGTAATTTACATTATTTGATACATAATATAGTTTATCGGTATAACTTATTCTTGTTAAATTTGATATAATAAATATTTTAATAGTAAATTTTTGTAAGAAGATTTTTTATAGACCATCAAAATTTTTGATTTAGTCATCTAATTTTGGGACCCGTAATTCACTAAAAGTGAATAATTTTCTATATAATGTGAAATCATATTTATGTAATTTTTGGTATTACAAAGTATTTGGTTGTAAAATTTAAGGGGTGTGTATTATGTTCTGATCCGTTGCAAAATTATCAATGATATTAATATATATTCAGACCGTTGCAAAACTATCATTTATTTTATATACTTATAACATTTGAGACTTTAAAATTTTAATATTTATAATATATGAAACTTTTAAAAGTTTAATATTTATAGTATTTTAATTTTTAAAAAGATTAAAAACTATAATATTTTGAAACTCTAACAAATCTTAAAAAATTTAAAATTTTAAACTTTATAATATTTTATACATTTTAAAATTTTAACTATTATAATATTTTGAATTTTTTTAAAAGTTCAAATTTTCTCAAACTTAGAACCGGATAATACCAAATAATTTTTTTAAAAATTAGGATTCATAATAAATCAAACTTACTACTCATTCGTAGTTCGAACCATGTAGGTCTTTTTATAATGGTCCGAACTATTGTCAAAAAAATATTTTAGCCGATGTGGGTCGATGTACATACATTTTTTGTCAATCGAGTAATATATATCCGCTTTGAAAAATTCATACTGCAACATTATAATACATTTGTATTCTATATTGTAATATAATAAATTAAAAATAAAATAAAATAAAGATTTAAGGAGAATAATAATTGTTTTTAATTAGTTAGAGTAATATTAAGAAATCCAAAATTAGATATAGAAATAATATAATATGTTGGAGAAGTATCCAATTTATATTCAAACCCAATTAAATATCATATTTTAAAGTACCCAATTACAATTTTCGAGTTAAAATTTTTAAATTGACTCTATTCAAAACACAAATGTACTTCTCTTTTACTATATAGGGTATTAATAAGAAAAACATTTATAACTCAGTCATTTTTATTTTATCACTTATTAAAGAGGTTTTATCTTGTAACTGAAAACTCCCCTCGTTCCACTTGAAGCTGCGAAGAGTTCCATCACCTAAACCACCCAACAAGTACGATTTCTGCAGCACCAAAAATATTATAAAGATAAATATTGATTGAAAGGATGGACTTATTTTATAACTATGGAAATAAGGTAAGTAGAGTTCATATTATTCCAAATGCACAAAGAATGATACACCAGGGTAGACAACTTAACTTGTTTTCTGTGAGTTAGATAAGTGGCTAGAATAACGAATTCGATTTGAAGTCTAGCAAATGAACACTATAAATTCGATTTTTATGGCGGTAAGAGAAATACAATAATAATACGGTATATATGTGAACAAAATAAAATTTCTATATATTATATATTTTAGTTTAATTCGTTTTAAAAATGTTGAAATTATCAAATTAATAAATACATATATCTTTTTTTAAGATAAAGAAACATTTGTAAGTTCTTTTATTGAAATTGCTTTATAAAACTATAAAATATTGTATTTTTATGTGATTTTAGTAAAATAATCAATGAAAAAAACACACAAATTAGATAACTATTTGCATTAAAATAATAAAAGTATGAATTGTACTAACTATACACACTAGACCAGCAATATATTAAAAGCTTTTTTTAATACAAAATGAGATACCAAGTATGTTTTTTCAAAGGACGAACACCGAAACTCGATAGAGATCTTGCCTTTGAATTGCATCAATCTCATTCTAGTATCCACGTTATTAACGAGTGTTTTTTTTTTATAGATACAATGTTATATTCTTGGAGCAGCACATAATATTTACTTGTGTTAGCTCCAACTTCATACAATTGGTTCACTTTTTTTGTATGAATGTATTTACCGAAAAACATAGATATGTATACCTTTAAGCTTTAAGGTAGTATTTTTCAATATACTCTACTATGGTTTCATTTTGAGTTTTTTTTTAACTTCTTAACAGATGGGAGTTGTGACTAGTGAACATTGTTAGTTTGTACCCAATGTTGGTTCTGGTTTAGGTTTGGTATATGAGAGCATCATTATCAATCGGATCTTACAAAATTCTCAAGGTAAGAAAAATTAAGAAAAGGTAAGCAAAGTATCTTATTTAAAAGAGCTTAATTTTTCTTACCATTTCTTAATTTTTCTTATCTTAAGAATTTTGTAAGAACTCTTCCATAATGATGGTCTGAGAAACCTATACCATTGTAATCATCTTTTTGGTTTGGTTTATTTTACTTGAGATTTTGCCAGTTTTTGGTTGGCCAATTACATGCTGATTTAAAACCGATGTTTGTCGGTTCAAATTGATTTCGTTGGGTCAATTTCAATTTGGTTCCGGTTTAATGTCCACTTTTCTTTACTTAATATGCCAACTGCAATCGAGCATATTCAGTTTCTTCTTTAATAGATAAATAAATTTCATATAGTTTTTATTTATTTAAAAAGTTTGGTCAAGTATCACACATCTGTTATTTGTCAACTTATCTCCTATATGTAATTTATTTTAAAGACGTTAAGAAAGTCACATTATATTAAGAAACGGATATGCTTTTTAGTAAAGGATATTCTTATTTCTTAGTTGTTATATTTAAAGAAGCCATGGTCGGTTGACTCAGTTCATGTAAGCAAGAAATATATACATGCATGTATATTCATATAAAATCAAATGTGAAAAAACTAAAAAAAGATTGTAATTTCCAAATTTACATTAATGTCTGCGATTTTATAAAAGTAGTAATATTGTTTCACCATGATGTATTATATATGTCAATTTATAAAGCACGATCAAAATAAGATTTGGTTACTGTGTTATGTTATTTGCATATAAAAGGATTTTATAGTAAAGAAACAAATACGTATTTATATTGTGTCAACCCATATCAAAGAGTTGAATCCAATGTCAAATTGGAAATATCAAATTTATCAATTTGCGTATGAATATATAAGTAGCTTTTATCCAACCAGATCCAGGTGGGGATTTAAAATCATCTTTATAAATTAATTTCTTATATATTCCTCTATAATTCCCAAAGCTTTGACCAAAAAAACAAACACCGTCCGTATCTCAACGTTAGAGCCTTTAAAGGGACAAATCAACGGCGGCGGCTACGACGACTACGGAGATTTAACGTTGCAAAGCGGCGGAGAACGGCGGAAGACGGCGGAAGATGGGTGATCTACTCGACTGGCTTATATCTTTTTTGTTCCTCGTAACCCTTCTCATCATCGTTATTTACCAGGTTTAGTTATATGCTCTCATAATTATTCTCCTAATCATTAATTCATAGTTTTGTTCTCTTTGTTATAATTCACTTAAATATATATATAATTTGTAACCAAAAGCAATGGTTGTTGTTTGATGCAGCTGACATGTTTGGCGGATCTAGAGTTCGATCGTAGAAACCCTTACGATTCATCTACTAGAATAAACCGGATGATTCTACCGGAATTTGGTTTGCAAGGACTTTTGTGCTTATACTATGTCTTAACCGGACATTGGTTCATGGCGGTTTTGTCTCTTCCTCACCTTTTCTACAACATTAGACTGTAAGTAAAAACTTTACTCGATACTACTCATCTTATTTTTGATTATCACTTTACAAAAACCAATCCGGTTGAATCTGATCTTTCTTTATTTCCGGTTTAATTTGATGATGTATCTCTTTGTGTTTATTTCCGGTTAAAAGGTACGTGAATAAGGAACATTTGGCAGACGTAACAGAGATATACAATACGAATAAATGGGAGCAGAAGAAACGAGTTTACAAGATTGCTCATATCGCTCTCTCCATTTTTATCACATCTTTTTGGTAACAAGATTTATTTGTCTTTAAGTACATATTAATTCGATATGTTTACGAAACTTAGATACTAATTGTTACTTTTGTGTTTTTTATTAAGGTTGATCCACTCGGCATTGGGAGACATCTAAAGGTTGGAGAAGTCACCGTATCACTTCACCTATTTTGTTGGCCACGACAAATTGTTATGTAGTTCTTCAACTCTTTTTTTTGTTGTTCTTTTCTTTTTTGGTTCTTCAGTTCATTACACAAATCGTAACGACGATGATTAATGATTTAATTTAAAAAAAAAAATTAAAATGTAACTTTCATTGTTTGGTACTCTTGATACTTAGATTTCAAGGCTTTTAAGGTACCTCATTTATCATTTATGACCTTCTGCCTCTTGAAACAAGGTGTATTGCAATATAGATGTTGTAGTTTGATTGCAAAATTAATAATTAAAATTTGACACATTCCATGTTTTTCTATTAAAATTTGACTATCATTATTTAACTTGAGGTGGTAAGCATTCGTAAAAGTAAAATATGTAAAATTATTTAACACAAATACTAAGAACTTAAAAACAAAAATTTTAAAAATATTTCAGAGTTTATTGTAACTTTATTTTACTCTTTTACATAATAGTTTACGTCTCCAATAATTTCGAATTTTGTTTGCAAATAATATTAAATGTTACAATGCAATCGGCTTCTTGTGATCTTGAAGAAATCAATGTAGAGTTTCTAGAATAGAATGGCATTGAAAGGTAGCTAGTTGTAAAACTCGATCCATTATACAAAACAATGATAAAGCCTAAGATCTACTTAATTAAAACGTTTTGGGATGTAGTTGTTCATATTGAAGCATATGTCCAAAGTCGAATACCACAAGAGCACTTGAATATAAAACACCTAAGCCTGGAGCGGAGCAAAACCATTACTAGCTAGGTGATATGAAAGTGTCTGGAAGTATATGTTATGTCCACATAACAGTTGAGATCCAAGTATAGTTTACACTCTTTGACCCAATATAGAATCTAGTTGGACACTCTTATCGAGTATACAAGCTCTTATCGACCTTTACATGAGAAAAGTTGAAACTATATTGAAGGAATTCAAATTGCTTAACATAAGGATACACACACTTTGTTTGGTCAATAACTAGTCATCAAGATTATGGCAAGTTTTTGTTTTAACATGGTTAACTACATACCAAATCGAACTGGCGGGTGGACATGACCACGGTTACGGTTAATGCAGTTATGGTTAATTAACCACCGGTTATACGGTTACGGTTTATAAACGGTCCGACTAGGGTTAGAAATACGGTTAAAGTTAGCTAATAGGGCGGGTCACATTGAACCGATACATGGGTTTCCTATTTTGATACAATAACATGCGAAACCGGAAACCATGACCGGTTTTAACAAAAATTAAAGAAACAAGATGATTCAATCCGATTAAAGAAGATGGAAACAACCCCTACATGTGACAACAATGGAACCAACAACACAAGACACCCTAAAACCCTAAAACACTACCATTCCCTAATGTGGAAAAACCAAACCAACCGAAACGAACTTGATAACCGAAAAATACAGAGGAAGATTGAATTGTGTTTCAAGTTAAATTGACGTTAATATCCGAAGGCTTGTTTCTTGCATCAGAAGCTAAAGAAGTCTGCCATGTACTATTATTGATCGGAAGAGAAGATACCGAATGGATTGTTCGGTGATCAGCTGCAGTAGAGATAGGAACCGCTGCGGTCGGACTCGACAACATGAAATCGTGTTTGTTCTTCTTCGGTTTCTGATCTTGCTGGTCCGTGCCAGCTATAAAACTTCCTACAACCACCTATTGAATTCAAACACACATAATTAGATTTTTCCGGTTAAAGAAACTTGCATCAACACCAAAATACCCAATAAATACCTGAACCGGACTCGCGGCTACTAGTAAACCAGCTACACCACCGCCTACTACACGACCATCGGGACTTGCTAACGATACACTCATTCCTCCTGTTCTACTCCGAGTTCCACCTGAATCATTAGGCATGAATGAACCGGACAATGATAATATCTCAAACCGACCCTGAAAGATAACAATATAACTCATCAAGATTTATCTTAAATCATCAACAAAACTTTGACCGATGAGATTGAAAATCACATACTTCGTATGTCAATGTACCGCCAGAGGAATCAGGCTGACGAAGTGTAACACTTGAAATAACACCATTTGCTGATAAAACACATATCGCACGAGGCCCTTGTTGCGAAAACGAGATTATCTTCATTGTTACATCCTAATTACGCCAAAATACATCATTCCAAACTCGTAATAGTTAAAAATAACAAAGAACCGGATCTAACAAGAACTTACCTCGCCGGTGTTGACTGTGATTACATGAGGTGTGAAATTACCACCAACGACGGAACAAGGAACCCATTCACCTAAACACAAGCACAATAGCTTAAGGTCTCTACTACAAAATGTTGAACGTTTCTTAACTTATTTGTAATCTAGACTAATATTAATCGTAAAATTTAAATATCTTTATTACGAAGAAAACTCTAATTTTGACCAACATGATTTAACGTCAAAACTCTAATTGTCACTAATATAAGTTTAATGTTGCATTTAAACAATCAACAACATGACATATCACATATATGTGTAGATACTTGTAGCTATAGAACACATCCATAACTATAGACAAAATTAAACATAGATACAAAAAAAGGAAGAGATCTAATTTATAAGTTGAATACCCCACTTATAATATTAAAAGCATGCATGAAAATGAAATCCCAGAAAAAACCAATTTTAATTTTAATTTTTTTGTCAATACTCAATAGAGTCAGATTAGTCTACGAAACAAGATTCCGACAAGAAAAAAAAAAGAAAAAAAAAAAAAAGACAAAACAGAGCAAAGAAGAGATAATTACCCAAACTCTCAACTTGATGATGATACTTTGGTCTGTTAAAAGAGTTGTTTGGTTTCACTTTGCTACGTTTCTCAGATGCGGAGAAATCGATGACGTGTGAACCCGGCGGCGTAAGATGCGACGGCGCCGGCGCTGATGAAATTGGTTTAGGAGATAACGCTACAACAGTCCCGTCAGGTCCGTACTTTCTCGGCCTTCCACGCTTCTTCTTCATCGTTCCACCGGAGATACCTTCCATCTCCGTCGTCATAGTCGTCGCCGTTGTTGATATTTGCGGCGGAGGAGGAGCTGTGTGATGAGACGACGGTGGAGGAGGAGGAGTGACTGAGGGAGGAGATTGGTTTGAGCTTTCTGATCTTGAAGCTACGTGAAAATCTGAAGGTGCGTCGGATCTAACCACCGTAACACCGCCGCCGTTACCGGTGGTTGCGGTTGTTCTAACAACTTCTCCGGTAGTCTCCATATCTAAAACCATTTCTTGTTTTCTTGTTATTTTTTTCTTTATTTCTTGCCACTTTTCAAGAACCCAAGTGAGATTTTTGGGTTTTGATTAAAGATAAAACAAAGATGAGAGATTAAGGATAAAGAAATATAATTAAGATCTAAAACAAGAAAATTAAAACTATATTGCTAAGAACAGAGTTTGAAAAAATTAGGAAGGAAAAATAAGAAATTGTTGGAGAAGAAAGTGAGAGAAATTAGATTTATTTATGCTTTGTCATTTAGATTGAATAAATAAAATTTACTAATCGATTTTTTGATTTTAGAATCTTGACATTAAATAATGCATTTTGTTTTATGATTTTATATATATATATTTATAATAAGATTTGTTTAATGCTTTTAGTCAGCTAATTTCCATTGTAATTTTTTTTTTGTATCTTTGTCTGTCCATTTTAACTTTAATATTGGATAAATAAAATAATGTGAAAAGGAAATGTGTAATAGCGTGTTATAATATAACTCACAATGGATTTATTAATTAACTTTTTTTTCTTGGAATATATAGATATTCGTGTTTTTTTAGCTGGAATCCGATGGGGAGGAATTAATGAATAAAAATAACAATAAAATAAGAAAATAGTATAGTAGACAAAAATTAAAGTGGGTATAGAAAATTCATTTATTAAAAAAAACAATTTGTGAAAGACAAATGGCCTGCGTATATTTTTCTTGCTTTGGTTTTATTTTATTTTCTAAATATTCATTTTCTTCCAATCCAAAATATACTTTTCCTTAATTAATAATCAGGATTTGGAGTAACGGACAAGTAAAACTAGGCTGCTAAAATGATGAATAAAATAAATTATACCTGGAAATTAAATACTTTAATTTTATTTAACATATAACAATTAAAGATAAGAATGACAATTACATGGGGCCAGCAAAATATTTATCAAATCGTATTTTATTTTATTTTGTCATATATAGTTTTCCAAAAAAAATCATATACAGTAATCAATTCAAAATTTTAATAAAATCTAAATCTCTTTTAGTCAAATTTTTTTTAAAGAACATCTAAATCATACCCTTGATCAATAATAACATGATGGGTTAAAACTTAAGAATATGATGTTTCTAATCACATAACGAGTCAAGAGATGTTAGCATGTAGGTCAACTTTATCTAGGACGAACATGATTTTCCTAAGAGCATGAGCATTGGAGGGTTTATGGCAGTCCCCCAACCAAAAAAAATAAAAGAAAATTCAAAAGAAAAAAAATATAAGGAGGACGTATCTCCAAACGTTACGGTCCCTTAGCTTTTGTCTCACCAATCGCGGGCCCCACTGACACGTGGCGGCCCACGATTGGTTCTCTCAATTTTTTTTTTTTTTTTAAAAAAATCTGGAAAAGAAATAAAAAATAAAATAAAAATAAAAAAATTTGGGACGAAATGCTGTCCAAACCAATGCATTTGCTCTAATACATGTAAATTGTAATATGTTCACTTTTACTCAATGCTAATATATATTGGTGTTAGTTTTATGCATGACAAAGAAAAAAATGACAAATTAAGTGAATGATTGTTAGTATTTACTTACTACATTTTTATATTGTGTCGTGTATTTGTGGGAATCCGAAGGTCTTTTTTTTTTTTTTTAAATCTTTTACTTTTATTTTAATATTTGGAAACCTTTTGAAAATATTAAATACATGTTTATGTGTTTGCTTTACATTCATTTCTTTCCTTTTACATTTCCCAAAGTCTTCATCACAATTATAGCTACCCAACTAATTTATCCTCATTTAAAAAAAAAAAGTCTAATAAATTTTTTTGGTAGTAAGAAAATCTTTAGTAATTTATACCGTAATTTATAGTATAAGGCAAAATCGTATTTTGAGGTTTTTGGTTTGCAAAAAACAGAATAAAATTATTTGAAGACGATAAATAAACAACGACGGTGGAACTTTGAATTAATATAATTAGATTTCGAATGTTACAGTTACTTAAAATATTAGTCAAAAATTACAAATTTTTGAAATAGCTTAACTACAATTACATAAACTGCTAAATTAGAAATATTAGCCTATTTTAAATTCAATTTTTAGCTACTCTTCATTTTTTCTAGCCAATAATATTATGGAAACATTCTTTAAAAAAAAAAATCGGTAGAAAAAGTCATTTTGTTTTCTCTAATTCTCTATTTACGAAAAAAATATTTAGGAAATGGAAGCAATCATGAGACGTAAAAATATTTAAATACAATTTTATTTTGGGACCACGAAGGCATCGAGTCATTGACCAATAGAAATGCAAATCTAATTCGCAAAACAATTAAAAAACATTTAAATAACGAAGAAGATTAATTAAATTAATAACCCGGAGTTTTAGATAAGAACGAACCATTAATTAATCGTCTAATGTCTTCTTCTTTTCTTTTTTTTTTTGCGTTTAAATTAAATATTTCTATAAAAAGATTAAAAGTGATGTGCTCGATGTGCATTTCCTCCGCGACTTTATTTTATTTTATTCTCTTTTAAAAAATAAAGAAATATAGAGTAAACTATTGATTTCACATGGCTTTTTTATTTTGAAATTTTTTCACATTTATAATTGTGGTCGGCATTTCTGACCTAACTTGGTTTCATTATACAGCTCACTTGAAAAAAGAAAATATATAATTAAAAAAATTAAATATTTATTTATCAAAACATTTATATAATATATTACACACCACTTGATTTAAAACTTTGACCGAAACCCAAGAAGTTTACATTATGTATTTTTTTTAGTTACATGTATTACTTTTCATTCTTAATTCTCTAACTTTGTCAAGAATTTTTATATAAAAATAATTATATTTATATTTTCTATTTCCTTTGTTTAATAATATATTTCAAAGAAATAAACATATTCTACTCATTTCATAGTAGGCAAATCCATGATTTTGTGCGTGTTAATGATAGTCATACCAAGAAAAAAAAAATACATATAACGTAATTCATATTAATATTAGGTGGTGGTGCTTATATTGCATGTTCATTTCTGGTGAAACTCGATTGGTTACAAGTAATCAAATATTATAACTTAATTTTTTAATTAAAGAAACTTATCATGGCAAATTGACAATATTTGCAATACCCATCCATCATGTGAACCTTTTATACAGAAATAATTAAATCATCGGCGTGCTTTTAAAAAAAAAGATAACTTATTGTCACTTCCAAATTGCAATTACAAGATTTTAAAAATATCCTCTGTAATATTTTGTTACTTTTCCAGTTTTATTTCGTTTTTTTATAATGTTAATAATCATGTTATTCAAAACCTTCATAGGTAAGTACACCCTTGATTCATTTTAAAGCAATATTTTATATAAAAAATCCATAAATCGTTGGCATTTGTTCAAAAACCTCCAAATTGCAAATCTTCAACTCAAAGGCATAAAGCCCACAGTTATAGATAGAGAGCCCATTTCAATTGTATTCTTGACTTTGAGAGCCCATTTCAATTGTATTATGACTTTGTCGAAAACACCAATTTAATACCAATGATCTAAATGTGAATGAAGATGGTTAAAGTATGTTGTGTAGTTGAAGATATACATACAGAAACTAACCTTAGTTCAATCTTTCCTTGAGTTATTCCAATTATTTACATGCACACGTATCAAAAACATATCATCCCAACTTCAAATATAACATCAGGACAGCAAACATAGAGACATCATCATCAGTCATCACAAAGACTCGTTTGTGAAAGGGATTTCTTGGAACTTAAACGAAGCATTGCCAGCATTTTCGCGTTCAAACCTAAACACATCTTCATCCGACAACGGCATCACCTGTCTGTCACCGACTTGTCGCGGTGGTAAGACCTCGCTAAGCCGCGGAAACTCAGTGGAGTCGAGCATTTCGCTACTAAACAACAAGTGAGTCCCACCGCTGCTACTCCTAGGAGGCGAGGAGCAATCCGCGGTGGCAGAGGAGTCCCAGAGGAAGACGTGAAGGCCTATTGGGACTTTAGCGTGACGGTGTAGTGACAGTTTCTGGCTGAGTGAAACTGTGTCGTAGCAGCGAATTGCTCCTGTGGATGAGACCATCCATGGCAATACTTTTTGGTTACCTACACGAGAAACCACTAGACGACGTGATGTCTTGGCTGCTTCTCTGTATAATGAGCTTAGCCCGGATCTTGCAGCTGGTGCATTCTCGTCTTCGTGGTCTGTTACTGATGAAACATATATGAAACCCTGGCCAAGAAATGTTTCGATTTCAATATTATAATCGCCTGAAACGATGGTTTATAAAAATTGATGTATTCAACTTAACATTTTGTTTCATAAAGTTTAGTGTTTTGCTAATTTACATGCATATAAATCTAAATTCACCTTTTCATAAAACTATACAACTTTTAGGTGTAAACAAAATCTGATGTGTGTGAAAACATCTAAAAAAGTCTATATGATTTTTGATTGGTAGATTTGTCTGAACTGGTAGAAAAAAGTCTATATGTGTTGAAATGTAAGTCCATTGTGAATACATTAAATTCAATAAAGATATGTTTACCTCTTCAGTGCGGCTAATGGAGAAGCCAAGTTTGGTATCGTCATCTTTGAGTATGATTTCGAGTGGGAACTCAACACCAAGAGGAGCAAACCAAAGCCTAACCGCTCTCACCACACCAATATCAACTCCATGATAATCCTCAAACCCATAGAGACTTGCGTTTGCAAGATTCGACAAATCCGAAAGCGACGTCGTATTAACCGTCGCCGATGCTGTTTCTCCCGATATCTAAACAGTCAACATATATATTCACACATTCACATTCAAAATTTTATACAAAAATACAATGTGTCACACAAATCTACAAATCTCTAACCTTAGTGAGCAAAGACTCAGTCTGAATATTCATAAAGACAATAGGAACACCATTAGCTTGTGAACAACTTAACCAAGCATTAGCACGAGCAAGTGTGTCTTCCAAGTCATTGTACCGAGACCCTGACCTTCCATAAGCTAAATTTTCAAGAAAGACTCATCAAAACATTATTCACATATAAAGATTACTAGAAATGAATATGTGACTAACAAGTAACAACAATGTGTGTATTACCAGAAGCTTTAGGAAGAAAAAGAATGGAGAGGAAATTGCTAGAACCAGAGATTGGTAAAGATTCTTGCATTCGTCTCTCCCATGGATATGAAACGTAACCATCTTGAAGCTTTGCTCTCACCAATGCTTCCACCATTCTTGATCCTCTTGACTCTGCTCACAATCAAATTGGGGATGTAGCTCAGATGGTAGAGCGCTCGCTTAGCATGCGAGAGGTACGGGGATCGATACCCCGCATCTCCACTTTTCTTTTCTTTTTTTACTTTCAATAATTGTTACCAAAAAACAAAACAAATCATTTCAAAGATTCTAAATATTTAAAAAATCAGTAAAAATAGTAACATAAAGATTCTTGGTTTAAAGATGGTTTTTTTATAATAAATATTCTTTGTTGTTATAGTTTGGGGGACCAAATTAATCATCAAATAATCACTCTAAAGTATATAAAATTATTATAAATAAATGAAAAAGATTAATGTTTTGTAAGATACAAAACATGGTCCTATGTCTCTCACCAAAAAAAAAACACATGGTCCTATGTCAAAAACATCAGTTTATTACGGAAACTTAAAAACTAAAACTCTGTTTTATCGTTCATCAACGACAAATTCGTATAACTAAAGCTTAATTAATAAAACAGCATTAATTAGATTTCACCAACTGAGAAACACGACATGAGGAAAAAAAGGAAAAGGTCAACACGTAAGCACAAAAAGTCAACCAAAGTACAAAAAAAAACAAAACACAAAAGGAAGATATTTTTTCTAACAAGAACCGAGTTAAACTCACCTTGCAAACCGAGACAATCCGACTCAGTACGATCCGAGAACCCAACGGTATAATTCGGGTCATCAATGGATCTAAGCATGTACTGTTTCTTTCCGGCGGATTCATTAGGAACAAGACAAGCAGACAGATCGGAGAAATCGTCTGAGCCACGACGAACTCTTACAACAATGGAAGTTTCTTTATTCCTGAAAGAATTGTGAAGAACCTTCTGGAGCCAAGCTTTGCCTCCTTTAAACGGAGCTTTGAATATAGCCGAACCGGGTCCTGACCCGATCCGGATCTCTTCCACTATGTCTCCGGTTTGAAGCATGTCGCCGCTCCATTCTTCGCTTTTGGAGCTTCCTTTTAGACAGTCTATGGAGAGGACCACCGTGTTTCCGGGTCGGGTTGTGGATTCGGGTTGCTGGTTACGATCCATAGAGATAGAGAGAGTTTTGTGAAAAGATTTATGAGTTCTGATTTGTAAATTATGAAAATGAATCTGTAACACGGAATCTTTGGGAGAGAGAGAGAGAGGAGAGAGTGTATATAAAAGTCGTAGTTGGCTTTGGCTATGATTTTGTTCGTGTCTACTAGATATTAGGATAATTTTTAAAATCTTAAACAATGCCACTTGTCATGGAACTAAAAGCTTTTAGAATATTTTGATTTGGTTTTATATAGTTAATATTGATTGATTCCTTCTACTAGTGAAAAAAAAGTAATTTGAGATAGTGAGAACATTTGTTTTGAAACAATTATAATACAATTTGAGAACAATTTGGTATAAAGTATATTGATTTGGTTTGTATAAGATAGTGAGACCATCATCACCTAATTTGAAACAATTTTTTTTCTCTCTAATACAACATTTGTTTTCTTTGGCATGGTCTTAAAGAAAACAAATGTTGTATTGGGGAATGGTCTTAAATACCATAAAAATAGGTAATTTTTCCAAACGTACAATTATAAGTTTTCTTTTCCAAAATACCACTAATATACATTTTAAAACTAATTTATGAATCCTAGACACTAACCCTAACATTATAACATACACTGTAAATATAAATAGTCAACCCAAACATTAAGAAAAAAAATCAACACCTTCAAAAAATCAATTGTTTATGGTATTCTTGGAAAAATAAATTTTTGTGGTATTTTTGAAAGAAAAACTAAAATGATGGTAGCCAAGAAAATTTCTCAATTTTATCAATTTTTTTAGCCATTGAAATCCTTACAAATGAAGTTTTACAACATAATCAAAATCATCATTAGTGAAGTAATCATAATGGTCAAATGTGCCTTGCATTTTATAACTCTGACATTTGACAAAAGTATTATGACATTTGACAATAGAAAAAGATTTTGTAATATCTAAATCTTATGATCATAGACAACGAACTTGTAGTATAAACATTGTGCAGTATCTGGACCAAGTTAAGGTCATGTCAAGATAAGTCACTTCAACAAGTAGGAAAATCATTTTTCAAAATTAGTGCATATAAACTACTAGCATTTGAACCTTCCTTTAATTTGCTAGAACTAACAATTACCATTTTTGGTGTTGTTGCCTTGAAATCGATCGATATATACATCACCAATTTCCCAAAAACAAATCTTTCAAAATTCAGTTCTTATACCAACAAATCGAGGCTTGAGTTTGATCTATTTACTTTATTGTATTTATTGTATCCGTCACCAAATTATTTAATATGATTTTCAAACATTTGTAGTTACTCTTTAACGTTATAAGTCTCTTCGAGTCTTGCTGATTCCTTCATTCTCAGTCCCAGGGATGCAATTTGCAATGTAAGAAGCCCCATATCACATGATTTTTAGGCCTTCACTATTCACTATTCTTGGCGACAACAGTCATTTACCTAATTCATAAGTACAACATTATGATTACACTTTTTTTAAGATACAATAATTTGTACTCCCCTATTTATAAGCCATTTTGCATGAAATGTAAACAAGATGTTTTGTAATCGAAAATTTTAAATATATATATATATAGAATGGGGACACATATATTACACCAAACAGAAAATTATACTTAAGAAAAAATGGCTAAAATAACACAAACTCAAAATATAAATATTAAACAGTTGAAGTAAAATTTTAAAAGATAAAGATTAAAACGCTCAAACTAATTTATTTAGACCAAATGCGTTCCATCAAACAAATTTGTCTATAAATTTGGTTTAAACTTCAAAGAGAGAAAGATTTTAAAACTCAAATCTCCCAAAATTACTTATATTATATGTATGATAAAACTTGATAATTCCAAACTATACAAACTATTAAAATCTTAAGTTGTTAATCTAAGCGGAAGCATGAGTTTCTTATCATGTTTCAAATATTGTACACTTTCAGAAAACGTGTTTTCGTAATTTTCTAGTATTTACAAGAGTTTTCCTTTTTAGCAAAACTTATCATAAATAGAATGAACAACGCAAAGAGTTTTCATGCAACATATGTTAGAGTCTTCATCTTTGTGGTAGTATGATTCCTTTTGTTTTGGAAGTTAAGCTCTTTAATTATATCACTGAATGGTTGTGACAAAAAAATCGGCGGACATGGTTCTTCTATAATATAACTAAAGCGGAGTCATCGGTGATTGACAAAGTTACAACTACAATAGTTAGAACATCAACAACGGTTTAAAATTTAAGAGTTTCTAAAAAAGATAACCTAAAACGATAAATATTTTCATCTAAATTGTCATTTTCTATTTTTAACCAAAAATAAAGAAAATAGTAATATTATTTAAAAAGTACGCATATATATAAGCTATAGTGAATGTAACTCAAAATTTCTCCTAACAAACAATAATATTTCACTTCAACTAAATAAATCAAATTTTCTTTCTTTTATTCTTTATTTTATCAAACTTTCTCTTATCTTTCATTTAATTATTTTCATTAGTTGACATTTTTCTCATTTCAAACATGTATGATCATAGAATACAATCTTGTAATATCAAACTTGTGCAGTATATGAACCAAGTAAATGTTAGTAAAAAAAATTGTGTTAAGATAAATCACTTAAAATGGTGGATTAAGATAATCAATTTTTCAATGTTAGTAAAGATAAGCTAATAGCATTTGAAACTTCCTTCACTTTGCTAGAATTAACAATTACCAATTTTGCTGTTGTTGCCTCGTAATCGTTCAATCGAAAATAGTCTTAATCAAGTAAATGTTGTGGGTATGTCTTTAGTGCATCTTCATGAAAATCCGCAATCAAAACTATTACACACTCATCATGAAGATACTTTCAAAAAATTTCAAACTTTTACGTTTTCTCACTAAAACCTTAGGAAAAACCAACAACAAAATTATAAACAGACAAAATAAAATCAAACAGAAACACAACTTTGTTACCATCTTAGGTAGCAACCTTCTGTATCTAACTCCAACATGGAAAAATTAAAAGAGAGACAATTTAGGAAAATACACCAAATAGTGGCTATTTTGCAATTCTCTTAGAACATCTTCCCACTAAACACTCCATTTGTTTTGCTTCAATTGTCATTCCTTGTGTTTTGGTTTTGCGTTGGCATTAAACTTTGAAACTAAAAAAAGAAAAACAACTTAGCTGCTAAAACAATAAGAAATCAGTATTATTTTGAGAAGTAATATCATTAACTCATCTTAACATCTTGATATGTGAATATTGTAAAAATTAGGGAGTTAAATCATTAATGCTTTTAATATGTCTAACATTCAAAGTCCCAAAGAAAAATATGAATTGTTCTTGTAATCTTGACGTTGACTTATTAGAAAATGAAAGGAAGAATTTTAAAAGTTAAGAGTCAGAACATGAAAACCAATTCTATTTTTAAAAATATAGGAGAAAAATAAACTAGGTCTCCACATTCACTTTCTTTTCGACCTTTTGAATTTTCTATTTAATGATAAAATATTTCACATGATTTGTGATGTATCAGCTTCTAATAGCAAAAGAGAAAAAGAAATCACCCTAACCAAAACAAACCATTATAATTTTTTAATAAAAGAAAAATACTCCACTAAATGGGCCTTGTTGGGTATTATTCCCATCTTTTAACTGTTAAGCCCATATAAAAAAAGCTTATGATAAAAAATTAAAACGGCATCGTTTCAGTGATCTTCAACCTCTCTCTCCTTCACCAATTTTGACGTTCTTTCTTCTTTTTTCCCGTTATCCAAAGACACTATCGCGAAAATGGCGGCTCACTCTTCTTGCAACTTTGCTTTAGCTAATCCGATCATCTCGCAAAATGATTCTTTCTCCAAGCAGAAACTATCTGTTCCATTATACTTCTTCTCTACAAGAAACCCTCTAAAATCTTTGACGAATCCATGGTTAGGCGTTGCTGATTCATCATCCCTCTCTCTCAACTCTCCCGTCTCCGCTCTTCAATCGAATCGCCGTAGAATCCATAAATCCGTCGTTTCAAGCTTACCCACCGCGTAAATTTCACGAATTTTGATCTAATTTTTGGTTGATTTTGATCGTCTTTAGTCCGCTAAATTCTAACAGTTATGTGTTCGATTACTGTTTCAGGAATCAGGATTTAGTGGTTTCTGATGAGAAAAAGCCAAAGTAAGTGTTGTTTCTGAGACCTAAGTAGTGAGGATTGAATTGCTTGTTATTGGATTTGAAGTTCTTGATTTGATTTAGGGTAATGTAATAAAATGTAGATGGTCATGGAGAGGGATTAAGTCATTTGCAATGGGAGAGCTTGAAGCTAGGAAGCTCAAGTATCCAAATACTGGAACTGAAGCACTTCTCATGGGTATTTTGATTGAAGGTACTTTACTTACTTTACTCTTGGTTGATTTGCAATCAGATTCAGAGAGTTTCATTAGGATCTTGGTAGTGTTTGGAATAAGATTGTGTGTTGATTTTGATGGGTAGGAACTAGTTTTACTTCAAAGTTTTTGCGGGCGAATAAGATAATGCTATACAAAGTACGTGAGGAGACGATCAAGTTACTAGGAAAGGCAGATTTGTATTTCTTTAGCCCTGAACATCCTCCTTTAACTGAAGATGCTCAACGAGCACTTGACTCTGCTCTGGATCAGAATCTAAAAGCAGGTTTGTCTCTGTTCTAACTCGTCCTGTTTCTCTTATGTTGTGAATCTTATCTTCTGTGATATGGTGATAAATTGTCAGTCATGAGAGCAACATTACCTGGAGAAATCTTTGTAAATATTGGTTAGTTTCTTAGCATACTCGGAAGTTTCCTTGTCGTTGGCTTATCAATAGATAGCTTTGGTTTGTAAAATGTTTCGGTATATGCATATGGTGATAAATGTCATCATGAGAGCAACATTACTTGGAAAACAGTTTATTCTAATTGAGAGTCTGGTAATTTCTTAGCGGTTCTCGCAAGTTTTCATGTCTTTAGTTTATCAATCTTCCGGAAGAGAGATAGCTTTGGTTATAATATCTTCCAGTATATCCATATGCATGCTTCGATTTTAAGACAAAAACTTAATTAAGCACCATTGTTTCAATTGGTAATATTGTAAACAGGTGGTATCGGGGAAGTAATGCCAGCACATATACTA